TTTCCTTCTGATTTATTGTTTTATTATTCTATTTTTAAAGTAAGAAATATTTCAACTTAAGAGTTTTTAATGTAACTCATATGAAAATTAGTGATGGACAAACCTCAAGCTTTTGAGAGGTTTGATCTGGTTAGGAGAAGCATCCAGAAGTTCAGAGGCTTATCCAAAGCTAATCTGAAAGTGTCCAAACCTCTTCGGTCTAGACAGAGGCACAGCCACCCGTTGGCTCAGGACTCCCACCACTAACTGGGCTCGCCTCTTTCATTGCTGCTCCCTTGCAGAACATCCAGGGCTGGTTCTTACCAAGTCCTTGCTGAAGAACACACAGGATATGCAAGCACACTGATCTCCCTAAGCACAAACAGGGCTCTTAGGCATCTATTCTGCAAAGCAACCAACAGATGTTTAAGTCTTATAGGAATCAGAGAGACTTAAAGCACATGCTTAAGGCCCCTGTTTAGCAGTAAGGGTTTGCTGAGTTTGGGCTCACGATATGATTCCAACTTGTCACGTCCCTGCCTTCCAACTGCCATCATTGTGCTCTGAAGCTTGGATCCAATGCCTCAATGCATCTTATATAACAGCACCTATTTCATCAAACATAGAGGAATGAATGTCTCAGTATTGGATGTTACACACCAGTCGGGCTGATAAGGATAGAAAACGTTTCTGTGACAGCTTCATAAAAGCCTCAGTGTATCAGCCTTGGTATCACCTGGAACTTGTTCTATTCACTGTTTTGAGGGGTCAGAGTCTGAACTCTACTAAAAGGCCAAATACAATCATGAAATCTGGTACACCTGATACAACCACACCAATAAAGTTCCTTCACTAAATTACGGTGGTTCACAGTATCCTCTAAAAATGAAAAAATCCAACATATCAAATGCCAAAACTTTTCTCAGTACCAAAACATCTCCACCTTGCCCATCTCCGGCCAGCAGGACTGCATTCAAAGCAGTACAAACCACAGTTCCATTGAGGTAGCCTAAAGCCATGTTGAGACTTGTCACAAAATTTGCAGATCAGAGCTCAATAAATGCTGGCTCAGCACGAGTCACTCACGGAGAACAGGGGCTCTGCTATCACCAGCACCTGCCATACATCAAAAATGAACGTGTTGAGGAAACTGAACGCAGCAGCACACAACTAAGAATTCCTCGTGACTATCAGCACTGAAAGGAAAGCAGGCTGAAGAAAAACTCAGGTAAATCCATACAAGGAGAGAGAACAAAGGACACGTACTGAACCTGAACCGGGCACATTAGAGAACAGCCTTGACAGGAATAATTGATTATACAGGTAAACGACACAGAAGTCTGGAATATTTTTTTCTGCAGAAGATTCTAGGGTGTTCCTCATCAAGAAAAAGGACAACACAAAGAAATCAGGATGGAAATAATTTGAAAATACTTTTAAAGTGGCCTGGCATCCTGGGACAAAGAGACGACACCAGGATAGGAAGAGAGGACTAACAGTGCGTGGAGGTGCCACAGAAAAACTGGGAGGTAACAAAGTCCTTGCTCAGATAGAAACTGCTGTGTGAGAGAGAAAGTTGATGGTGATACCTTCAGCCAATGCGGAGCACAGTGGGAGGATGAGGAAGGATGCCATCTGCAGCTCACACATACACATCAGAGGCATAGCCTAGCTCAGAGCTACAATTCCAGAAGTGATTATCAGGTTTTATTTAACAGTTCTGCGTGGGACAATTCAACTACTTCAAGCTCTAGCAAGTTGCTAGTGATTGATATATCAATACCACACCATTCCATCTCAAATAACATATAATCAATCTACAGAATTTAATCCAGCAGGCAGTCCTGTGGCCCAATTCTATGCTGGCAGTGGAGTCTTTTTATGAGCATTAGGAACAATCTCAGTTACACATCAAAGCATTAAGACCTTTTACCACCTGAATTTGGAAGATTCTCTCTTACATTTTATTTAGAACTTCTAGAACTGGGGAAGAGGAGCAGCTGAACTGTACGCACGTTTTTTCTTGAGGTCCTTCTAGATGTTCATTTATCAGCAATGCCATTGAGTAGCCAGAGCTGGCAGACCAGGACAAGCAGCTACAAATCTCGCTCCACTAGCTGAGAGAAATGCCATGTCTTTGATCAAACCACAGCCTAACTTGTCACATCCACTCAGACAGGTAAAATAGAGATCTTGGTACTGAATTCATTCATATCCACTGAAACTCAGAGCAAACAGACTGCTACAGTCTACCTGGAAAGATAAATTAGAAGAGGGAAAGGGCAGAACACTGGAAGACTGATGGGCATTCTCATGCTGCCACCCATAAAGCACATTTCCTCCCTGCCCAGTGCCAAATTCTGCTCTTCTTATCAAAGGGATTTATACAAGCTTTCTTGGGAAAATAATTCAGCTTCTAAAAGGGTTCTGGTTTTATTTAGGGAGCTTTACACCAGGAATCTAACATTCAAGGCTAGAAAAAGGAGATCTTTATGCAGATTTCAATGCTTTGTCAACAAGAAGAGAAATGCATGCTTGAAATGGCAGTGACTCCAATTTCAAATTGCCGTTGCTTTGCTCTGTTCTGTATTTTTCAAAACAAACAAACAAACATACATCTATTTCCCCTCTTCTTATAACCCATTTTTCTGGCCATGACATCTTAGAAAAACTAATCAGTATTAGTTTTCCAACACAGCTTCAGTATCAGTGAGCCATCTTATGGATTCTACAACACTACAGATTTATTCCCTCTCCATGGAGCTATGAGCTACACATATGTATCTAACCTTACACCATGTAGCAATGAGGTGAGGATCATGAACTACACACTTCTTCACTCTTTATCCTCAAGTGGTGTCTGATGCCATATACAGGATAACAAACACGGCTGCAGGATTCCCAGGATCTCGTTGTGATTCATCTATACTCAGACATTCTGGAAGACAAGCATCTGAGACCAGCCAGAAGTGGAGTGGAACAACTGTTTGCTGAGGTCTTCTTTTGCAAAAAATTATTTTAAACATTCTTTATTTTTCCGAATATCAGTTCAGCTTCCCACTCTTTTTTCTAAAGCTTTTCCTCTAAAGTGGATAACAGTTATGTCTGACCCTGAAATTCCACGTGAAATGAATTATACACCCAGCGATTTGAGTTTCCCAGAACAATAACTGAAAGACAGTTTGGCCTTCTTAAAAGAGGTGATTTGCAAGTCTAGATGCATCCAGGAGTGCCTTATAAGGCAGCCCACCAGACCTGCTTGCCACGCAGCCCAGTTAACCATGCGCTATCATTCCTTAATTTTTCTCAGTTCATTATTCCAAAACATCAGTCACACCAACAAGATGATTTCCGCAGCAAACGCTGACAACTATCAGCACTTCCCTCACAAGCAGGGCAGCTACAAGGCAGTCTGGCCAGCAGACTGGAACAGCACCAGTGGCAACACGAGCCCCGGAGCCCTACCCTGTGAACGGGGCTGAGCCACGGTCAGAGCCAGAGACCCCCAAGTCCAATGGGGAGAACCACCAGGTCCCACAAATTCGGGCAGGAAATACACAGTCCCCACCTAGGAGGATAGAAAATAAACAGCTTCCCCTACCCTTAGCCAATTCCTCTCCTAGTTTTAGAAGTGAAACTAAGAGTTCCAATGCCATGAAAAAATGGGAAGAAAAAATAATCTGGTATTTCCCAGGCAAACCGCTGATATCATAGAATCACAGAATATCCCAAGTTGGAAGGAACCCACAGAGATCATCAAGTCCAAACCCTGACGATACACAGGACCACCCAAACACAGTCCTTCGGCTCCAGCAGCTCAGGGCCATGCCCACTGCCCTGGGCAGCCTGTGCCGTGCCCACCGCCCTCTGGTGCAGACCCTTTCCATAACACCCACCTGACCTTCCCCCAGCACAGCTCCATGCTGTTCCCTGGGCCCTGTCGCTGCCACAGACAGCAGAGCCCAGCGCTGCGCTCCGCTCCCTGCAAGGAGCTGCAGCCACCACGAGGGCTGCCCTCAGCTCCTTTGCTCTGGGCAGAGCAAACCCACGGACCTCAGCTGCTCCTCACACACCGTGCTCTCAAACCCTTCCCCATCTCTGCAGCCCTTCTTTAGATTCTCTAATAGCTTTACATCCTTCTTATGTTGGGGCACCCAAACCTGCACAGGGCTGGAAGTGAGGCCACACGGCACAGAGCAGAGCGGGACAACTGCTTCCCCAGTGCTGAGCCTGACAATCCCAGGGTACAACTGGCCCTTCTGGCTGCCAGGATGCACTGCCAGCTCAGATTCAATCTGCCACCAACCAGAACACCCAGATCCCTTTTTGCAGGGCTGCTCTCCAGCCCATCGCCCCCCAGCCTGTACATACAGCCAGGGCCGCCCCATCCCACATGCAGAGTCCAGCTCTTGCTCTTCTTCATGCAGATGGGGACCATCCTCATGGTTGTCCAGATCTCAGAGCAAGGTCTCTACCCTCAACAGAGTCGACACTGCTCCCAGCTTAACATCACCCAGAAGTTTACTTCATACAACTGCCAGATCTTTATTGGAATCAACAGCAAAAACATTCGAGAGAAAGGACCTCAAAATGGAGCCCTGCAGAATCCCACTGGTGACAAGTAGGACAACTGTCAGGCCGCAGCCTCCCCTCACCCAACACAGCCATGTTTTGGTTGTCATGGGACATTTGTAGGGTCGCACTGCCATGGCTTTAAGATGTCCCGAGCCACCTCCCTGCTGACTGCTACAGACATGGGGACCCTGACAACAGAAAACCTGTTGCTGACCAATTTCTGTCAAGGAAGCACGCATCTGAGACAGAGAGCTCAATAGACAGATCCTTCCTTCCCACTGTGGGAACTTACAAGGAGGACAATGAATCCTCCTCCAGCAAAGAAGTGGAGGCTTCTGGAGAGCAGCAGTGAGCCCAAGTAAATGGATGTAGACCCACCAAAGAGCGATGTTGAGCCCATGGAGGTGGACCTACCTCCAGA